AGCTGGAACTACAGGCATGCACCACCATGCCTGGCTAATTTTTTATTTATTGTAGAAAGTTGCCCAGGCTGGTCTCCAACCCCTGGGCTCAGGCAATCCTCTCACCTTGGCCTCATAAAGTGCTGGGATTATAGGCATGAGCCACCATGCCCTGCCACATCTGGACTTTTTTTTTTTTTTTTTTGAGTCAGAATCTCACTCTGTCACCCAGGCTGGAGTGCAGTGGCACGCTCATGGTCACCACAGCCTCGACCTGCGGGGCTCAGGCAATTCTTCCACCTCAGCCTTCCAAGTAGCTGGAACTACAGGTGTGTGCCACCACCCCCAGCTAATTTTTTGATTTATTGTAGAGACGAGGTCTCACCAAATTGCTCAGGCTGGTCTCGAGCTCCTGAGCTCAGGCAATCCTCTCGCCTCGGCCTCCCAAAGTGCTGGGATCACAGGCGTGAGCCACCGTGCCAGTTACATCTGGACTTTTTGAACTGTTTCATTGGTTGCCTTCAAATTGGGTTTGTTTTTTGCATCAGAGTCTCACTCTGTTGCCCAGGCTGGAGGGCAGTGGCACGCTCACAGCCACCACAGTCTTGACCTGCTGGGCTCAGGCAATCCTTCTGACTCAGTCTTCCAAGTAGCTGGAACCACAGGTGTGTGCCACCACATATGGCTAATTTTTTGATTTATTGTAAAGATGAGGTCTCACCAAATTGTCCAGGATGGTCTCGAACCCATGGGCTCAGGCAATCCTCTCACCTTGGCCTCCCAAAGTACTGGGATTATAAACATGAGCCTCCCAAAGTGTTGGGATTATGGGCCACAAATGCCATTTTATTTTTTTATTTTTTATTTTTTTGAGTTGGAGTCTCACTCTGTCGCCCAGACTGGAGTGCAGTGGCCGCTCCTGGCCACTGCAGCCTCGACCTGCTGGGCTCCGGCGATCCTTCCTCCTCAGCCTTCCAAGTAGCTGGTACTACAGGCGCGCGCTACCACACCTGGCTAATTTTTTGATTTATTGTAGAGATAAGGTCTCGCCAAGTTGCCCAGGCGGGTCTCGAACCCACGGGCTCAGGCAATTCACTCACCTCAGCCTCCCAAGGCGCGGGATTACAGGCTGAGCCACTGAGCAGGGCTCACAAATGCCATTTTATCTTATTTTTAAATTTTGTTTTAGTTGGAGTTTCACTCTGTCACCCAGACTGGAGTGCAGTGGCCGCTCCCGGCCACCGCAGCCTCACCTGCTGGGCTCCAGCGATCCTTCCGCCTCAGCCTTCCGAGTAGCCGGAATTACAGGCACGCACTACCACGCCCGGCTGATTTTTGATTTATTGTAGAGATGAGGTCTCGCCAAGTTGCCCAGGCGGGTTTCGAACCCGCGGGCTCAGGCAATCCACTCACCTCAGCCTCCCAAAGGCACGGGATTACAGGCTGAGCCACCGAGCCCGGTTACAAATGCCATTTTAAATGGTCAGGAGGAAGCAGAGGAGGGAGACAGCAGGGTGGAGAAAGGCATTATGGAAGGGTTGGCCTCTCAGTTGGGATTTGAAGGAGGGGCTGGGGAGTGAATGGGAGGGGAAGTTACAATTCTAGGGAAGGAGGAAGGCCAGAGCTCTGAGAGTCTGGGTACCAGATTCAGAGTTGGGGTGTAGGGGCTCCCCTGTGGCTACCATGGGCAAAGAGGACTGGCCCCAGCCTGGCAGGGTCATGCTAGCAGGGACCGCCTTGGTGGTTTCAGACCCGGCCCCTACCCCAGTGTTTCCTCTTGTCCCAGCCAGCTCCATTCAAGTTACATCACCACCCTCAGATCAAGGATGGATAGGTGAGTAGACAGTGCAGAGAAGGGCAAGTGAATGACCCGTGTTGAAATCAAATAAAGTATGGAGATACATTTTAAAATCTCACATTGAGCCAGGCTGGGTGCTCAGCCTGTAATCCTGCGCCTTTGGGAGGCTGAGGTGAGTGGATTGCCTGAGCCCGTGGGTTCCAGACCCGCCTGGGCAACTTGGCAAGACCTCATCTCTACAATAAATCAAAAATTAGCCGGGCGTGGTAGTGCGTGCCAGTAGTTCCAGCTACTCGGAAGGCTGAGGCAGAAGGATCGCCAGAGCCCAGCAGGACAAGGCTGCGGTGGCCAGGAGCGGCCACTGCACTCCAGTCTGGGCGACTGAGTGAGACTTCAACTCAAAAAAAAAAAAAAATCTCACATTGAAGGGAGGGAACCCATAAAGTGTAAAGTATATTCAGTTTAATGTAGTCATTTAAAAACAGCACACAACTGGGCACAATTGCTCATGCCTATAATCCCAGCACTTCAGGAGGCCGAAGTTAAAGGATTGCCTGAGTCCATAGGTTTGAGACCAGCCTAGGCAACTTGGTGAGATCTCATCTCTACAATAAATCAAAAAATTAACCGGGCTTGGTGGCAGGTGCCTATAGTTCCAGCTACTTGGAAGGCTGAGGTGGAAGGATCACCTGAGCCCAGCAAGTTGGGGCTGTGGTGGCTGTGAGTGTGCCACTGCACTCCGGCCTGGGCGACAGAGTGAGTTTCCAACTAAAAACAAAATTCCCAAAACAAAAACAAAAACAACCAAAATTTAAAAACAGCACAAGCCGGGCTTGGTGGCTCAGCCTGTAATCCCGCGCCTTGGGAGGCTGAGGTGAGTGGATTGCCTGAGCCCGCGGGTTCAAGACCCGCCTGGGCAACTTGGCAAGACCTCATCTCTACAATAAATAAAAAAATCAGCCGGGCGTGGTAGTGCACGCCTGTAGTTCCAGCTACTCGGAAGGCTGAGGCGGAAGGATCGCTGGAGCCCAGCGGGTCGAGGCTGCGGTGGCCAGGAGCGGCCACTGCACTCCAGTCTGGGCGACGGAGTGAAACTCCAACTCAAAAAAAAACAGCACAGCAGCTCTGGGCACTGTGGCTCACACCTGTAATCCCAGCACTTTGGGAGGCGGGGGCAAGAAGATTCCTGAGCCCAGGGATTCGAGACCAGCCTGGGCAACTTGGTAAGACCTTGTATCTACAATAAATCAAAAAATTAGCCAGGCATGGTAGTACACACCTGTGGTTCCTGCTATTTGGAAGGCTGAAGTGGAAGGATCACCTGAGCCCAGCAGGTCAACGCTGGGGTGGCCATGAGTGTACCACTGCACCCCAGCCTGGGCGACAGAGTGAGACTCCAACTCAAAAAAAAAAGAAATTAGTAATTATACGGAACCCCTTGAGATTGTCTTGCTTGCTAACAATTTACTTTTTTAGGTATTTGTATTAATACTTTGTTATCAGCTGCCCATGACGACCTCTAGCACACTACCGGGAGCCATGCTTACTGATATATTGCTATTACCCCACCATAATTACCCCAGCCCACCATCTGTAGACATGGAATGCTGATGCCTGGCAATGTCAAAATATGTAATTTATGTGACTGCTATAGAAACCAAATAATATAATTTTGGACACCAACCTTTGGCCCAAACCTCCTCCAGGTCTAAGCCCCTTAGATTTAGGGGTTTGCTTTGGAGCCCTTAAATACTCCTAATCTTTAGCCTGCCACACATTTGCCTTGGAGTGTCGGCCCCCTTCCCATCTGTGAAAGGTGAATAATAAACTTTACTTCTTTCTACTTTCTTCCGTGCCACCGTCTTGCATTATCCCTGTGACACCAGCTCACCTTGCTTCAGTTTACCCTTTCACACATTTTTTTTTTTTTGAGTTGGAGTCTCACTCTGTCGCCCAGACTGGAGTGCAGTGGCCGCTGCCGGCCACCGCAGCCTCAACCTGCTGGGCTCCCGCGATCCTTCCGCCTCAGCCTTCCAAGTAGCTGGGATGACAGGCGCGTGCCACCACGCCCGGCTAATTTTTGATTTATTGTAGAGATGAGGTCTCGCCAAGTTGCCCAGGCGGGTCTCAAACTCACGGACTCAGGCAATCCACTCACCTCACCCTCCCAAGGCATGGGATTACAGGCTGAGCCATGAAGCCCAGCTCCTTTCACACATTTTATTTGGAAAGAAATAATTATAATTGAGGAAATACACACAAACCTGGTTATCGTCGGTATGTCTAAAGAACAAAGAGGAGGTTGAAGTGTTTACAATAAGGAGAAAGGTTTGGGCCCGGTGCCTCACACCTGTCATCCCAGCACTTTGAAAGGTCAAGGCTGGAGGACTGCTTGAGCCTAGGAGTTCGGGACCAGCCTGGACATCATAGCAAGATCCTGCCTGTACAAAAAACAGTCAGAAAAATTAGCTGGGCATGGTAGCACGTGCTTGTAGTCCCAGTTACTCAGGAGGCTGAGGCAGAAGGATGGCCTGAGCCCAGGAAGTTGAGGCTTTGGTGAACCAGGATCGTGCCACTGAGCTCCAGCCTGGGCAACAGAGTAAGATCCTGTCATAAATAAATAAATAAATATGGAGAAATGTTATGTATTGGTGTTTTGAAAAAGTTCACCGGCATGAGTAAAGTTTTGGAAGCTGGCAAGTTCTGAAGGGTGCGTGACAGGTGGTGGGCAAAACTCATCTTAGAGTCATGGCAAGTTCATTCAGAAGCCATTAGAGAAAACTGGCTTCGGGTTACAGCAGGCAGTTTCAGCAGCCAGCTTGCAGAGAGTTACATTTTTGAAGCAATGTTATGTGTCCTGAGGACTTTCTAACCCCTGACTTCTCAACTCTGTTTTAGTTGGGGATGACAAGAATGACCCGGTTTGTATCACCAGCTTTCACACTTGTTTGGGGAGCTGAGAGTTCCTCGGCCGGAGGTTGCCGTGGCCACAGAGCCAGGCCCTGGGACGCCAGGCTGTGAGTCGGGGACTCTGTCCCGGGGGCAATGGAGGCTGTGAAGGAGGGGGTCGAACAGGTCTCGGTGTTAGAAAGAGCTCTCGGGGCCTGCAGGAGAGACGGAGGAGCCAGTGTGACTGAGTGGTGGCTCCCCCAGCGGCTGGGGCTTGGGGTTCCTCTCTCCCCTCGGGCCCCGCCCCCTGACATCATTGCTGCATTATTGCACCAGGGCTGGCTGACCAATAAGCTGCCGCTTGCTATTATCATGGGTCATAGTAACAGGGTCTGACCTTGGGTTAACAGGAGAGGAGACCTCCCCCTCGTGGGGAGAGTGTGAGGGGAGAGGGAGAGCCTGCAGGGCAGGTGAGTCCCCAAGACCAGGGCTCCCCAGCTGGGTCCTGTGCGTGGGCAGAGGCAGGGGCTTCTGGTCCCAGGCCCGACCCCCTGGGCCTTAATTCCAGGCACTGATGTGGCAGCCCCTTGCTGTGGGGACCTGTCCCAGGTTGCCACTCTCCCAGATGTGCTAGGGAAGAGCGGGGGGTGGAGACAGCAAGAGGAAACGCCCCCACTCAGGACAGGGCACTCAGATCTTGTGGGGACAATATGACAAGGACACATTTTGGGGGCTGGGAGGGACAGCAGAGGACGAGGGTGAGGGGTTGGAGGTGGAGGGACGGGGTGGCCAAGGAGATGGAGGTGGCAAAGTCATTGGGCTGAAAGGAAGGCAGCTCTCCAGGGGGTGAGGGAGCCCAGGGACCTGGTTTTGGGTCCCAGCTGTGCCTCTGGGTGGGGAGACATCCCCTGTCTTGCCTGAGCCTCAGTCTTTCTTACTGTCAGCTGGGGACAGTGACCTCAGGCATGAGCGTCTCTCCCAGCTCTCTCTCACTCTCTGAAGCGTATTTGTAAGTAAATGCACTTTATTTGAGTTGGAGTCTCGCTCTGTCACCCAGGCTGGAGTGCGGTGGCACACAGCCACTGCAATCTCGACCTGCTGGGCTCAGATGATTGTTCTGCTTCAACCTTCCAAGTAGCTGGAATCACAGGAGTGTACCACTAAGCCCAGCTAATTTTTTGATTGATTGTAAAGATGAGGTCTTGCCATGTTACCCAGGCTGGTCTTGAACGCCTGTACTCAGGCAGTCCTCTTACCTCCCGCTCCCAAAGTGCTGGGATTACAGGTGTGAGCCACCACATCCAGCTAGTAAATGCATTTTAGAGGTGATGGACCAGAGGGGTGTGTGATGAGAAGAGTGGAGCCAGGGAAGCTCCCAGATGAGGATGAGGGAGCTCAGGAGAGACACCGTGACAGGAACTCCAGAGGATGGGAGGGGAAACCGAGGGCTGTGGGAAGTAAGGCCTGCCATGGCAGGGCTGAGGGTTTCCCAAAAGGACTCCCAGCGGCAGGGCATGCGCCACACCGGGCTTCCTCTCCAGGCGGAACTCAAGAATGCCTGCAAAGCTGACCTGGGACTAGATAAATGGGGTTTGTGGTTTCACAGAGCTAAGCATTTCTTTCTTTTTTTTTTTTTTTTTTTTT